TCTATTTTTCATTAAAGAAATGATGAGTTCATCATCATCTTCCTCAATCCTTACATTTTTCTCTGTCATTTTAATTTTGTCGCCATGGGTGTCTACTTGTTGTTTTGCTGAATGGATCTTTCTCCAATGTCTATCCAGCAACGGGCAGCCAAATTTCCCCATCTCTGAAGCCATCTTCACCCCCAACAATTCTTCGTTCTTACCAACTCTCAATTTCTACATCAGAAACCCTCGATTTCAAAACCCCCAAACCCCAAAGCCACTTGCCATTATCGCGGCGAAACACGAATCTCATGTCCAAGCAACTATTATTTGTGCCAAACGCGTTGGTCTACACATCAGAATCCGCAGCGGCGGCCATGATTACGAAGGCCTCTCSTACATCTCCCAACAGCCATTCATCGTCCTCGACCTATTCAATCTACGAGCCATTAATGTTAATATCGCAGACCAAAGCGCTTGGGTTCAAGCAGGGGCCACCATGGGGGAACTTTACTACGCTATTGCTAAGAGGAGCGGAGTCCACGCCTTCCCTGGAGGTGTTTGCCCGACGATGGGCGCTGGTGGACATATTTCAGGAGGCGGGTATGGCAATTTAATGAGAAAATTTGGGCTCTCCGTGGACAACATTGTGGATGCACAAATTGTAAATGTACATGGTCATATTCTAAACCGAAAACAAATGGGAGAGGATTTGTTCTGGGCCATTAGAGGAGGGGGAGGAGGGAGCTTTGGAGTCATTCTCTCATGGAAGATAAAGCTAGTTCCAGTCCCTTCAATAGTTACAGTGTTTAATGTTGGCAGAACCATAGAAGAAGGAGCAGCGGATGTCGTTTGGCAATGGCTGCAAGTTGCAGACAAGCTGGATGAGAATTTGTTCATAAGACTAATGCTACGCGCTTCCAAAGGGAAGAATAAGGGSGAGATGACAGGGAAGGCGTCATTGGTGGGTTTGTATCTTGGGCCAGCGGAGAAACTTTTGGGGATTGTGAATCAGAACATATCCAGTTTGAGACTGCAGAAACAGGAGTGTAGTGAAATTAGTWGGATTCAATCTGTTCTGTTTTGGTTTAATTTCCCAAATGGGAYGGCCCCAGAGGCCTTACTAAGCAGGGAAATCCCATCTTTGCCCTTTCTCAAACGRAAATCGGACTACGTGAGAGAACCCATTTCGAGAGAAGGGATAGAAGCAATCTGGAAGGCGGTTATTGAAATTAAGGAAGTGGGTCTCGTTTGGAACCCTTATGGAGGGAGGATGAGCCAGATTTCAGAGGCAGCGACGCCATTTCCACACAGAGYAGGAGTAAAATTCAAACTCCAGTACTCTGCGAACTGGAAGGAAGGGGGCGATGAAGTGGCTGAGGAGAATATTGCATTGGTGAGACGATTGTACGAAGTGATGACGCCTTATGTGTCGAAGAATCCGAGAGAGGCGTTCTTGAATTACAGGGATATCGACGTGGGGAGCACCGCCCRTTGGAGCATGGAGGAAGGTAGGGTTTACGGGGCGAAGTATTTTAAGGGGAATTTTGAGAGATTGGTGAGCGTGAAGACGAAGGTTGATCCTGAAAATTTCTTCAGAAATGAACAGAGTATCCCTACTCGTTGATGTTGTGAGTGAATTGATACGAACGTCTAATAATATTGTATCTTGGGCTTCTAATTATGGTTTTGTTATGTATTTGAGCAAATTMGTTGGCCTGGCACAGCTTTGAATTCTTGATTTTCTACAACTTGTGTTACTAATCAATGCAAAACCTTATCATTGAATGTTAATTTACAATTATTAACGGCATTCTTTAGTTGGTTGTTGTGGGATCGAATCATAMTTTGTGATTGATCCATTAATCTATATATATTCGAATCAAACATTAAAGAAAGTCAAGATAATTGGCCTGAAACCCCTGTCCATCGCCAAGGGCAAACCTTCTTRAATTGCCAATGCTTCGTCATAAGACCGAACCACAATAGAGAAGGAATTTCACTACACGGCCGTTATTATTGCCAATAACAACTCTCAAACTGCACATAAAGAAGCCGAAAGAAAAGAGACGTTTGTATTTACCTTGTAACACTCAACCAAAGGAGGCTGCCATTTGCAAGAGGATCTCGACCATTGAGGACTCGAAGGCACAAATTGAAGGGAAGTAGGTGGTTGGTATAATTCTCAGTCCAACTACCGAAAGAACCAAATAGGAATTTATTGATCCGTTAAATTATATTTAAATTTATGTTAATAGGAAAGCGAAAATAATTAGAAAATGGATGTTTACTAAATAAACGTGAATGCTTTTTTTTTTAAATGTGTTTGTTCAAATATTGTTGGGTCACATTGAGATAACCAATAATTTTATTCAGTAATATGTAATTAGGTAACATATCACAATTATTTCAAAGTTTACTATTAAACATAATTACAATAACTTTATAAAATATAAAATTGTATGAATAGTTGTACTAAAAAAAATATGTACGAATAGTTTTATATTTTTGTTTTATATAATGGTTTTGTATTATTGAATGGAAAAGAACCAAGGAGATTTGTCCACGACATCCTCAGAGGAATAGGGGTTGATGACTCSATGGACGCTACTAATGTAAGTGAAAGCACAAGACGAATCAAACAATGAAAGCACAAGACGAATCAAACAA